GGTGTTCGTTGCTGCTCTCGGGTCCCTTTTTTGCTTTTTTTGTTTTAGCTTTTGTTGTTTTTTATTGTCTTCTTTTGGTGTTGTTTGCTGTTTAAAAAAAAAGAAGTAAATTCGCTCAGTTTTCTGTTTTCAGGGACAGGGGAATAGGGAGTGGTGTACTATTTAACACATCTTCGAATCTCTTTGCCGTTTTAGCTCAGCGAGAAACGTCACAAAAGCGTCGTTTTCGGGAACAATTTGTTTGGAAAGCTGACTGCAGGAGATACAGCAGTAAATTGTAACCAGAAAGAAAAAATCTATCGTTTCATAATGAAGTGGCTGAACACTGCTGCCCACATCCACACGATACAAAATAATGACGTGATTCTTTACTCTAAAACACCAATTAACTCCCTTTGATGAGAAGTAGTATCATCGCACAAAGCGGTGTGGTGTCATGAGAGTTGTTAAACATCAAAATACGAGCTTCTGTTTAAGTAAAACGTACAGACACATGCCAAAAAGATGACCCTTACAGAGTATTTGTACATTTCCAAATAAATAGAATGGTAATATATCAAGGGAATACAAGGTGCACATTATATAAATATGTAGTATTTACATAATAATATATTGGGTTGGGTTATTTTTAGTACGACTATACCACCCCACTTAACATACAAAAAAAGAAAAAATAATGTGCGAATTCCAAAACTTGATGACGTGAGTTTGGTAAACAGGAGCCACGGTAAGTAGACTGAAACAAAAGAGCTTCTGGCAGAAACCATAATAACTATGATCAAATATCCACCTTCCCCAGAAACGGTGCCTCCTCAGCCAGCAGATCACCAGTACAGTAATCAATAAAATATGCTCTCCCTGGCCCTTTTAGGATTCAAATATATCGCAACGTGTACAATTATGTTTATACCATGTATTTCATACAATCAAATGCAAGCAGTCTGTCCCTGCGGTGATCGACTAAATAGGTGGTTTTCCCCTTTTTTGGAACCACCCTTGTTTGATAATGCATGTGTGGAAAATGTGTACTTGATATGTCAAGGTAAAGCTCACAGCGTAAGAATAGTGCTCGTCAAAGACCACCCGACTTGTGTATAAAGCAGCAGCAGTATTTCTGAGGTGAAAAACGACAGGCACCGAGAAACAGACATCAATGAAGACGTGTACAACAATTACAGGTCATTTTCCCGTCTGCCAGTGTCTCGCCACCTGACCCCTCCCACTCACTTAGACCCTCCCACCCTAAGCCAAGTGGCCTAGTTAGCTTGTTATTGTCTGGCGAGCGAAGTAACTAGAGACATAAAACACGAGGAGATAGCACCAGACAGCCGAGGCTTTAGGATAGCACAAGTGACGTTAACAGCCTCGAAACCACCATTGTACAGCAAAACAGAGTAGCAAGAAACACAGAGCCATCTCTGACTAGCCTTAAAAAGAACGAAAACAAGACAGAAAAACATAATAAGGAGAATGGAGTGCGTAAATCACTCTGGAAGCCACATTAAAGTCCTAAATCCGCAACGAGCAATAGTAGAACTATTTTTCAACACCTATTTCCGTATACTCGCCTCAGCCACACTAGTGAAACATGTGTCTATATATAAAGACATGATTTAAAATAATTTATCTTAAAAGCCAACAAAACCAAAGTAAAAGTAGAACACAATGTAACAAAAATTCATTGCAGGAAGATGTAACTGTGGGGTTTTTTTTTACCCAACAGTTGACAAGCGTTACTTACTTATTTTATTCGCATATGCCTATATCTCTGTCAACACCAACATTTTCAATTAACCAATTTATTTTTGTTAACATATTCAAAGTAAAAATTGTAAACAATGGCGAACTTAAATTGCTGGGGTTCTGTTATGTCAAATGCACATCTTCGGTTGCAAACAACTATTCCTGGAGGGTTTCCAGAATATCAGCACCCATATTATTTATTTTCTCGAAAGAAAGTTGTACCCCGTGCGACTTGCCGTTCTCACATCGTTCCCTTTTTTTCATTATTTTTTATTTTAGTTTTCTGTGTTTTAACTTTATTAAACTAGACTGAAAAAATAACAACTGCAAAAACATGAAGCAAAGACAAAAAATTGAACTCTCAAACAGCCCATGGTATCAGATAGACAACTCAGAGTGCGAAAGAATAAATAAATCTGTGAGTATTTCGGAAACCCCATCTTCGGCCCAGACAGAAAGTCGTTCTCGGGACACACATCAAATGTAGCGCTAGATGGAACTTTAGAGATATCTGGTGCGGGAAGTTTATCTGTAATTGGTATTGCAAGGCCAATGTTCGCGATACGAAGATGTTGAGTGCGTTTTCTCCATCACTGTAGGCGTCTGGCCCTCCCCATGAGCCTACCTTGTTTTATTTTGTGTCTGTGTAGCATATTTTGTTGGGTTTTTTTTTGGGGGGGGTATTTTTTCGGCCGAGGGGGGGTGGGGGTGTTCCCTTTTTTTTTTTTTTTACCCTTTTTTGCTATTTCAATTTTATGGGTCGAAGGACTAAATTCTTTGACATCGGTGCGGACGCTATAGCTAGTTCACTTTCATCTATACGCAATGAAAATGGGATAAGAAAAAGATACAATTGGACAGCTCTGTTTAATTTTTACACCTCTGTGCATGCGGATTTTAATTTGAATGACCAACAAAATTCTAAAAGCTCATTAATGAAGATCACTGCAAGATAAGTTTTCTTTTATATTAGCTTAAAGTGGGTTTAAAAAATGTGATTTACAGCATACATAAAACAGCTCACATATTTTCGCCAGCGCCACACTTTAAAGTATGCCTAAGAAACTATGTCCAACAAACTGGTAAAATTCTTTTGGAGACTCACACGAAGATGTCTAGACGACCTTGGGAGGAAATTTTAAAGCTTACACTTGAACTTTGGGAACAGGGTTGAAGTTGCAGTCTCAAAGTGAGCAAGGTGTAGGCTAGGCTACTGTAAACCATTTAATGCAATGACCCTGTGTGTGCACCCAAAATGCGGTGTTTAATATAGGGACCAAGTAAAGAAATTTTTTTTTGTTCCTGGATCGAGATTTAAAAAAAAAATGTTGGGTCGCTAGTCTACAGGAGTGCCATGCAAAGTTGCATGCACACTGGCAGATTGGTTGATACGCTAGATTTTTTTTTTACGTTAACAGAAGAAAGTGAACAGGTTATAGATGGGCTTTTGTTCCCCTTCTCATCAAGCTGAGTGTTATCACATACTATTTTCTGACTAAAAAGGGAAAGCTTTACTCAAAGGCTATTATTTTTGTGGACTACTGTGCAATGAATTTGATTTGAATTCCCGTATAAATCCGTTGGTCTAAGGTTTTGTTTTGTTTTATCTTGTTTTGTTTTTGGTCTACAATCTACATCCTT